TGTGTGGAAAAACGTCACGATAGTAGCAGCTACCATCACTTGAAGAAATGAGGACTGCAATTACTATGAGAATTTCCCCCTTCTTTGGTTTGAGTCTGCCTGTGTATAAGGATTTGTTTTCTTCCCACTTAACCCTTTACTATGTAGCATAAAATATATTAGCCTTATTGATAGTATTTAAACAGTTAGTTCCTTTATAATTTTATTCATTTATCGGAGAGGAAGAAAGACAGCTCTTCCATCTGCTGGCTCACTCCCAAAATAACTCCAATGTCGAGGGCTGCATCAGGAACAAAACTGGGAGCTGACAATGGTATCTACTTCTTCCAAGTGGACTGCAGCAACCCAACCACTTGAGCCATCACTGCTGCCTCTCAGGGTCTAAACTATTAGGACGTTGGATTCAGTTCAACTAGAAACTTAACCCAGGTACTCTGGCATGTGATGTAAGTGGTTAAACACTCATATATGTTGTTAGCTTTTTATATTATTTAATCTATCGGATATGAAGATAAAACATGAACATCACACAGAGACTTGCACATCATTCTGGGCAATGGGTTCGTCTTTGTAACATGTTATGCAGAAGTACAACTTGCTGTTGTCTCTACTGCTGCCTGCAACACTAGCATCCCACATGAACACCACACTGTGTTTCAGTTGCTCCAATTCTGATTCTACTGTTCCCCCTGCTAATAGCTTGGGAAAATCAGTGGAAAATGGCCCAAGTGTTTGGGACCCTGCCAACCATGTGAAATCCCTGGATCAGGTTCCAGGCTCATGGCTCCTGGATTTGACCTGGTCCAGCACTAGCTGTTGTAGCCATCTGAGGAGTGAACCAGCAGATGGAAGGTCTCTCACACTCTTGGTCTCTCTATTCCAAAATAAGTAAATAAGTCCTCAGAGGAAAAATAAAGTCAAGCACAGTCAAAGCGTATATGTATATGAGTCAAGTTAACAAAGAGTAAACTATGACAGTTAATTTTATGTGTGAACTTGGCTAGATTATTGTGCCCAGCTATTTGATTAACTTCACTCCAGACATTGTGGCTAAGACAGATTTTGTAGATGTAACAGACATTTACAATCTGCTGACTTTAAAAGACAAGACTATCCTGGAGGCAGATACTTGGCATGGCTGTTGAGACACAGGTTGGGATGCCCTGTATTCCACATTTTCTGGGTTCAAGTCCCAGCTCTTTTCCCAATTTCAGCTTCCTGTTAACGTGTACCCTGGCAGACGGCTATAAAAAGTAATAAACTTGGGATCCTGCAACCCATGCGAGAGACCTGAATTAAATTTTCACACAGTCTGTGGTACTGCAGATATGTGGAGAGTGAATCAACAGGAAGGAGCTGTTACTCTCATAGTTGCTCAAATAAGCAAACTTTAATTGTAAAAAAAAAAAAAAAGGAAGACTCCTCTATCAGGTAAGATAGACTTTATCCAATGAGTTGAAGCACTTACACATACATACACATTGCCTCCTGGCTGAGCCTCCAGAGCAGCGTAATACACATCAAGCCTGTCAATAAACTGACTAGTCTTCAAACACATCCCCAAACACATCCTGGTTTGTCATTTCTCTTTCTCTTGGCGTTTGTATTGCTCAAATACATAATTAACTGTAGATTTCAAACACATGTTTATCAATGTTACTTGTGGAATGTACATATCAACATACAAAACTTTTAAAAATCCTAACAGAAATGATTTTGTTGAAGATTGCTACATGCTTTGATCTATAATTTTTCACTTAGAAACACCAACCACAACTTTTTAATTCAAGGAATTTATATTTCTACTTTATCCATTTCATTCAAATCACCTTTGTATATGCACATGTCCTAGCATTTGCTACCTTACACCATAAAGTTTTCCTGAATATATTATATGCATTTTTAGTAAAAGAGAATGGATTAGATTCTTGTAGAAAAATTTTATACAATGGAATTCATATTGAATGACTCAGTAGATAGAAATATCTGTGTTAGCTAATTTTACAGGTCAACCTAAAAGGCCACAGTTCCCAGATATTAATCAAACAATATTCTGGATGCTTCTGTAAAGATGTTTTTGGATGAGATGAATTTTAGTCAGTATCATGCAGGGGTTTCAAGGTCAGGATTTAGCCATTGTTCCATCACACTGGGCCATGGGCCAACTTTTTAAGGTAAATCTCTATATACATAATCATACCCTACTAAAATATCTTTATTTTCCTTCTGTCTTTAGACATATATAAGCTTGATCCTGGCACAGTGGCCTTCTAGCTAAATTCTTGCCATGTAACCACTGGGATCCCATTTGAACACTGGTTCATGTCCTGGCTGCTCAACTTCCTTCCAGCTCCCTGCTTGTGGCCTGGGAAAGCAGCAGAGGATGGCCCAAAGCCTTGGGACCCTACACCTGTGTGGGAGACCTGGAAGAGGCTCCTGGTTTCTGGTTTCGTTTCAGCTCAGTTCTGGCCACTGTGGCTACTTGGAGAGTGAACCAGTGGACGGAAGATGTTTCTCTGTCCTTCTCTGTAAATCTATCTTTCCAACAAAAACAAATAAATCTTAATACTGATATCATTAGTGCTGCCTAAGGTTTTAGTCATCCTGTGATTTGTCTGATAACTGGGAAATGTCTTCCTGGGGGCCAGGTTCTCTCTGCCATTGCAGGCAGAAAAAAAGTCCTCCACTCTAGTGAACATTAAAAAAAATAATAAGGTTACAGAGATGTTTCCTTTTACTTCTGTTTGGCAACACAAACAAAAACTTGAATTTCACTGTATTCACGCTTCTACGCAATTCTGGTATTATTTGTTTACTTATATTCACAGTCTTTTCCAGCATGGTTAAAAATAACTGATGAGTAATGATGGCATGATTCCTAACATGAAGAAACAGCAAAACATTTTAAGATATAATAAAATAAGGTCATTAATACTTCATCCTACATCTTTGATTTACAAAAAGATCCATGGATCCACATTGTAGTTGTGAGACGAAAGTTTTCACCTGTTTTTAAAAAGTGAATTTTCTCATTGGAAGACTCATAAAATATCAATCATTACAAAGAGTTAGCAATGCTTAACTCACAACAAAATTTAAAACTAGGAACAACAGGGCCCAGCGTGGTAGCCTAGTGGCTAAAGTCCTCGCCTTGAACCCACCAGGATCCCATATGGGTGCCAGTTTGTGGCCCAACTGTTCCACTTCCCATCCAGCTCTCTGCTTGTGGCCTGGGAAAGCAGTTGAGGACGGCCCAAAGCCTTGGGACCTGCAACCGTGTGGGAGACCTGGAGGAGGTTCCTGGCTCCTGGCTTCAGACCAGCTCTGCTCTGGCTGTTGTGGCCACTCAGGGAATAAACCAGCAAATGGAAGATCTTTCTCCCTGTCTCTCCTCCTCTCTGTATATCTTGCGTTCCAAGAAAAGTAAGTAAATAATCAAAAGGAAAAAAATAAACTAGGAAGAATAGGCATAAATTCTGATCAATCATCTTGCAGAGTTCTATAAAAGAATTTCCACATTTAGAAAAGATAATAAGATAATACAAGTACTCAGTAGTTAAGCGTGAGCATTAAGTGAGGTAATAAAAACATAAACCATTTATAATAGTATCTGGCATCTACAAAGCCTCCCATCTATTATTAGTAGTAGAGTCTAACAGGATATATGGTATATTTGCTAACACTGCGGTAGCACATCCATACTCTGAGTACTTCTCTTTCCCTATCGTGGGGATTTTTCTCTGGGCCATAAATCCTCTGCAGATTACACTTAACAAGACAGCTGATTAGCCTGGTTACAAATTCATACTCTCATTTACTTTGTGATCTTTAAGAAATTATCTAACCACTCCTAGTCTACTCATCTATAACACAGGCATAATATTTCTTGCACCAGTGTGTAGAAAAGTCATGTGATATAATGAATAGAGCAGCCAGCACACAACACTGAACTGTAATTAGTATGACATTTAGCTTCTCAATATTAGATCAGCTGTTCTTTTTGCCTAATGGGCTCAGGTGGAATTATATTTTTATCAGCATACATATCAATACATGTAGCCAAATTGTTGTCATCCAAGGTCTTAGAACAAAGTGATAAAATTCTCTAAATTATCTAATTCTCCTAGTTAGGTAAATTTCAGCAGGCAAGTAATAGCTGTTCACTTTGGCTCTGGCAAAAAAAAAAATAATAAATAAATAAAATAAAAGACAGGAAAGAGCTCGGGTAAGACATCAAAAGAAATTGTTAGAAATGTTTTGCCAGGCCAATGTTGTGACTTAGCAAGTAAATACCAGTAATGTTGGCATCCTATACAGGTGCCAGTTTGTGTCACAACTATTCCACTTCTGATACAGCTCCCTGCTAAGGGCCTGGGAAAAACAGAGGAACATGGCCCAGTTTCAGGGCTCCTGCCACTCACAGGGGCAATCAGGCTAACGTTTCTTTGTAGCTTTGGCCTAACAGCATTCTGGAAAGTGAACCAGTACAAGAGTCTCTATCTCTTTCTCTCTTTTTCAAAATAAGTCTTAAAAACAACAACAAATTCTTTGTAAAACGTTGTAACAATACATGCCAAACATTATGTCTCAAATTCATAATTTATATTAACAATCTCAGTTACACTGTATCACGAATCCAGTCAAGAAAGTTATAACTTGTTCAACACACTTAGAGAGCAGGCAAGAGAATTTTCAGATAGCCAGTTTACCTTTTACCTATATTAAAGAATTGTAGGTAGCTGTGATTCTTTCTAGGTCTTCAGCAGGTCAAACGTTTTTTTTCCCTCACCTCTCCCCAAGTCCTTCTGAAGCCCCAAGGGACACCTCTCCTAAGCTACATTGGACCCCTATGTTGACAGAACAGGCAGATAAGCCTTCACATCTTGGAATTCTGATTTTCTTTAGAGTTCATCAAATCATAAATACAACAAGTTACCTCCTGGAACAACTCTATATCATTTTCCTTCTCCACTCACAGTTACTTAATAAAAGCATCTTACATGGAGTTCTAGTGACTTCAAACTCAGGTCAGCAAATGCATCTCCAAGTTGCCTCTGGGTATGCACCATCTGGAAAAGCTGGGTTGACAATGTCTGAGCCAGTCTTAGGATATTTTCATATTTTTTCTTGTTATCTCTTAATATCTCAATCTGAGCTTCAAGTTCAAGGTCCACAGTTCTTGAGCCACGGCCTAGCTTCTCAGAGATAATTTGTCGAGTACACTAAAGTGGAAAGATACACTTTGTTAAGGAAAGAAAAAAAAACAGAAAAAAAATATACAACTACCTAAAATACAATTAAAATACAATTGCTAGAGCACATGGTATACATAATTTTCTAGCTCCAAACAAGTGGCCTAACTGAAAGTTTTCTGCACCTAAGTTTAGAAGCTCATCAAGACTCAGCAAGTAAATTCATGAGGCGTGTCTAGTAACTACTAACACTAAGAGGAAAATTTATGACTTAATACTGACAGACGGACTCTCTCACATAATCACACTTGAAGTTCAATGTACTCTGGACAAATTATTTAAAACAGATATTTGGCAATGGTTTAATAATAATAATAATACCAAATTTCTACTCTCTTACAGTTCCAAATGTCTTTTCCCTCTTTCTCCCAAATAGCCTATGTGTCTGAAAGAGGAAAGAAGTTAAAAAGGAGAGAGAAGAGAAAGTGAGCAAGAGAGAAAGTTGTCAGAGATGTGCTGAGTTCTCCTTTCACTTCTGCCCACATACCAATGGATGAATACTAAACTATCCTGCCCAAGAAATAAAAACATATCTTAATGTACTCAACTTCAGAGGGCATGAAAGTAAATTTTCTAGCATAACTTACAAGAAATAAAAAATTATAAGCAACTTCATTATTCAACAATATATTTAAGGGCAACAATACAGGTGATGAATATACTCTCCATCATTTTAAAAATCTGTTCTAACAGATTTCAAAGTTTTGGTTATAGAATTAACTACTATAAAATTAATGCACAAAATAAGTTTCCTCTTCTTTACTCTCACAAACTATTCATAAAACGAAACTACTACTTTGACAGGTATTCTAGTCTCTCTTTTAACATAAAACTACACATCCATGTCTTTAGAGAAAACAGGTTACATTACACTACATATCACATCTTGAACCTTTCTTTTCCATGAACAAGATTTATGCAAAGGTTTCCTTTGTCAACAGATCTAAATCTGTATAAACTAAAACAAATTTCCTGACACAGTTCTATTCTCATCAGTTAAAGATTTTTATGAGCCTATTTTTTTTATTCAGAGCAAAGATATTCTGTTTCAAGATTTATTTTTATTGGAAAGAGAGAAGGAGATTATTTTATTTACAGAGAGAAGGAGACGGAGAGAGAAAGATCCTTCCCCAAATGATTGCAATGGCCAGGGCTGAGCTGATCTGAAACCAGCAACCAGGAGCTTCCTCCAGGTCTCACACGTGGGTGCAGGGTCCCAAGGTCTTGGATCATCCTCTACTGCTTTCTCAGGCCACAAGAAGGGAGCTAGATAGCAAGGGGAGCAGCTGGGACATGAACAGGCACCCATATGAGATTCTGGTACTTGAAGGGAAGAGCCAAACAAGCCAACGTGCCAGGCCCCAAGGCAAAGACATTTTTAACTCTATAGAAAATGACAGGTCAGGTGAGGGGTCAAAACCACACAAGAGGGATAAATCATTACTCTGGGAAACAGAGAAACACCCTTGGGGAATGAAAAACATCAACAGCCAAGGTTAACTGGAAACAGTGAGATTTTAATGAGAAAAACATCAGTAAGAAATAATACATGAAATGGAAGTGAGACAAGGAAAATATGTCAGTCATTCCCACACTCTTCCTCCACATTAGGATTTCCCTGGTAATAATATCAGCAGAGATGCTAACTATATTCACAAGCTGATATACATGGTGCCTTTCAACTTCATAACAGTTCGTTCAACAAGTTACATGCACTGCAAAGAACTGTGTATTGGGAAAATTAAAGAAATGTCCACTGCTGTCTGCTGTCATTCCCTGCTCCCTAAGAAACAGTGGTGGAAGTAGGCATGCGTATCAGAAGTTTAATGAGGAAATGTTTTTTGCTTTCAGGAAGTTAGGCAGTGGGAATAAAACTACACTCATTGTCAGGCAAATTATGATAAATCTGGATTCCTGAAATGAGCTTGTACAATACAGCTTGCATAGTAACACAAGTAATAATTATAAACTTTTTTGAAAAAGCCAAATACTCTGGAAATGAGAGAACTACCAAATGTGTATATGTATAGCTCTGTGGAAGTTTGTAGTGAGAAAATAAAAAGCTGGTAGCCATTTCTATTCATCAGAGTTCCAGAGGAATTTCCTAACAAGATCTTTAAAAAAAAAAAAAGATTTTTATTGGATCTCTGAAGTATACTGAAATTAAAATATAATACTCAAGACTGGCATATACTACAGAACAAGCTTAAAAACAGGGATCAAATATAAGGTGGCAGCCCTCATCAGCTGTCATTTCAATGAAGACTGTCAGGAGCTAACCAGGCACATGAGTCCAGGGGCAGAGGGGCTGCAGGGAATTACTGATCCAGCTCCAGCTCCTCATGTGGAACAGGCGGGTTCTGCACACTCTGTACACTGATTCAGCCCCACACTGGCCCAGGAACTGACCAGGTCCTCACTATGGACTCAGAATACTGAAACCGCTGCAAGAGTACTCTGCAATGCCAAATAAAAATGAATAAAGACATTGAAGCACCTGTAAAAGAAGAAGAATTCATCACAACAACCGACAGACATAAAAAGGGCTATTAAGGTGAAACATGAAGAAGGAAGCATAAAAGGAAAATGAACAGCAGAAACAGGTCAATCAATAAATGAGTAAGGCAATATAACAAGAAAAAACAGGTATGCTAGCATAGAGAAACTACTGGATTAAACACAATAAAGATTAGTCTGATAAGACAGGGAATGCTAATAGCAAGTTCTCAACATTTCCAAAAAGCATTTAATTTTTTATGACAGAGATTAAACATCTCCTGAATGGTGAAAGCAAGATGATTCTAAAACGGAAGAGAGAACTTGAAAAGAAGCCCATTACAGACTAGTGAAAACCACAGATCCACAAAAAAGAATGACTCAACAAATAAAGCAGAGTTCCTATTCTTAGTTATTCCTACAGATAAGAATAAAGGAAATAAACTTGGGCTTAAATATTTGTGAATAAATTAGGTAAATTAAAATAACACTGAAGAAGATGTGTTTAAGGCAAAAATTATGCTCTAATGACTCAATTAAGATTATTAAAGAGGTAAGACGCAAAAGAAAAATAACTCAAATACATATAGGAAAAAACAGATAAAGAGCAGGGAAAACACCTACTGAATGATGTGCAATTACTAGATGTTGGCTCAGAAATGAACTTTTATATAAAGTTCAAAATTGTAGACATGAGAGGCTAACTTTATCAATAAATAAGAAATATAATTGATAAATGAATAAAGCTGAGCTCAGCATGAATGATAAACAACCAAAATGAAAGGAAATTCCAAGCTTTGGAGAATACCACTTCCTGAACAAAGACAAAGTCATCTGAGGAAGCAGACAGTTGTGGAAATCTCTGGGTAATTTTGTCTGGATCACTGGGTCCACAGACAGAAGACAGCAGTAGGATAAAGCTGGAAAAGGAGATAGGAGTTGGATTCATGCCATTGTAAAGACAATGGGATGGAGTACAGGGCTGAGGCAACTGTGATCACACCAAGAGGAGTTGATTGCACAGTCTAAGAGAACTGGAGATACCACCACAGCAGTCTGAGAGGAGAATAAACATGAACTGTGGCTGTGGACGCTGAGATGGAGAAAAAGTAAAAAGAATAAAAAGGAAGTAGAAGTCCCACTGATAGATAGGGATATAAAGGCATAAGGAACACACGGAATGAGGGAATCCTGGGGAACAGAAGGAGCAATGATTTTCGAAGTTCTAGAGATCATGGCCACTCCTCAGATTCTACACTGATATTAACTAAATAACTTTACAAAGATCCATGTAGCATGTTTCAAGATACTTATCACTATCTTAAAAAACATACATAAAGATTTATTTAGTTATGTAGTTAAAAGGCAGACAGAGAAAAGGGGAGAGGGAGAGCTCTTCCAGCCACTGCTTTCCTCCCCACACACTTAAAATAGCCAGGGCTGGGCTGGGCTAAGACCTGGGTCCACCAACTCTATTCAGGTCTCCCTCACTCATCATTACATGGAGTCAAGTACCTAACCATCACCTGCCAATTAAGACAGATAAGCAGACAACTGGATCAGAGGCAGAGTAGCCGGGACTGGAACCAGCACTCAGAAAAGGCTGTGTAACCAGCTGGGCCACAGCATCCATCCCAGAAAAAAAAAAAATCTGTATTTTTGTTAGGATTTCAGGTTCTATTTCTAAAATATTAGCTGAAAAAAATAAATTTAAGTCTATTTTAATTGCTCTTGATAAATACCCATAAGCATTCTGTGTTATATAAAAATAAAAACAATTTTTAATTTAACAAACACTAGACCCACAATCAATCCATAAATACAAAGTTATGGTTAATGCTCTAATCTGAATGGCTAGAACTCTGATGCACTTAACTATTCCATAAATTCTATTGCCTTCCCCCTGTTCAGGTTCAAAGGTACTAGGCAGATCTGAAGTTTCAGTTATTTATAATGCATCAAACACAGTATGAATTAAATAATTTGGGAGTCTGGTACAATAGCTCAATTGGTTAATTCTCTACTCCATAGTGCCAATATCTCATACGGGCACTAGTTTGCATCTTGCCTGCTCTACTTCCTATCCAGCTCCCTGCTTGTAAATTGGGAAAGCACAGGAAGATAGCCCAAAGCTTGGAGACCCTGCATTAGCAATGAGGCCCAGGGCAAACTTCTGGCTCCTGGCTTTGGATGGGCTCAGCTCCAGCCTTTGTGGCCATTTGTGGAGTGAACCAGAGAATGAAAGATCTTTGTCTCTCCTTCTCTCTGCAAACCTTCCTTTCCAATAAAAATTAATAAATCTTTAAAAAATTAAATGATTTGTTATTTGTTTTACAAAGGATGTAAGAAAAATAACCACCAGTTACTCTGAAGCAAGGCAATCAACAGTGGAACTTCTGAATCAAAATTATCTGCAATCTATTGTTGCTTGCAAGTTAATACTCATACAGTAAAAGGACACAATTTCCAATTTAGAGAGAATACACCATTCTTGACCTTTAGCCATTATAAACATGCAAAAATATACAGGTTGAGAATATCTCAGTCAAACCCCAATACCCAAAACTTTCTGAGTGCCAACATAATGTTCAAAACTTATTGGTGTTTGGTGCATTTGTGACTTCATATTTTTAGATTAGTATGGTCAACTGCTTAAGTCTATGCAAGTATCTTAAAATTGGAAAAGCTCTGAAATCCGAGACAATTCTGGTCCCAAGCATAAAGCAGTACACAGATAACAGCTGGCTGACAGTTAAGTACATGCTAAGGCAGCACATGATCTGTAAGCGAATAAGCATTCAGGTAGCTTCTTCACTCTTTCATGATGAGTCTTTGAAATTATATGTAAAAGAGCAATAAGTATTTCAATTTCTAATTGTATTTCCACACTTAGATGGCACTATTCTCTACTATACATTCAAAGAATTGCAATATAATTCTATATTAAAGATAGGGTAGAAATATTTAAAATTTACAAACCTTGTAAGTATTTAGACTCCACTTTCGAACAAGTTCTAACTTTTCCATTGCGGGATTTTTAATCTCATCTGCTAGAATAACTGGTCCACTTTTTGTCTGCGTTTTCTGACCACCTGTATGATCATAATAAAAGATAAAAACACAGTCCACGTAAATTGGGAGAGAAAACACCAAAGCTGTTAAAATCATACTGCTTAGATATTTAAAAACTGAAAAAGCTTCCCCCGAAGTGAAGAACTAGTCATTCCTGGGATCACTGTGGGCAGCTTCCTGATCCCTTAAAAACAGTTTTGGTCATTAAACACAAATGCCACACAAGTGATTTGTCTTAAAAAAAAAGTCTACCATAATCAGTCTTTTATATATATATAATATAATATATTTATATAATATAATTATATATATATTATAATATAATTATATATATATATATAATTTTTTCTTTTAAAGGCAGAAAGAGAAGGAAAGACAAAGACAGGCAGAGATCTTCCATCTGGGGCTCCTGCCTCAGTGGCCGTAAGGTACACGCTGGAGCTCCTAACCCAGCCCTGGTCTCCTGTATTCAGCTGTGGAAGCCCTCCCTGCAGGGTGTGCATTAGCAGGCAGCTGCCATCCAAAATCCAGTCAGTTTCCTGTTCTACATAAGGTACTGCTGTAGATCAAAACCATCTTTCTCAACAAAAATCTACAAGTAACAAATTCCCATGGTGATCTTTCTACGAACTATGTGGACCAGAAAAACAATACAATGTTGTAATTTTAGAGGATTTGAAAAAACACTCCAAATTTCAAGTAGTCATTAAAAATATTTTACATGGGTTAGTTCTTGGCTTTGGAAATGAAATTCTGGTTGGGAATGTCTCAGTTTAAGCCCATTCCAGATTCCAGCTTCCTGCTAATATGCACCTGTGTCCAGTAAGTGGACACCTGTCACGTCCATGAGAGACCTGGACTGCCTTTCCAGCTCCCAGCTCTAGCCCTGACCCAGCCTGTACCCAGTCCTGCAGGCATCTGAGAAGTGACCAGCACACAGTTCTATCTGTCAGCCTCTCTTGGCCTCTCAAGTAATCAAACACAAATTTAAAAAGAAAATCATGAAGAGAGGATTGACACATATGGAAAAATCTAAAAAAAAATTTTAAAATGCACATTTTATATCCCAAGCACCGCGAGTGTGCAAGGCTGATGTGTAAGAGGTTCTACATCGTACTGTACCTCTTTGTACTCCAGGGACCAAAAAAAAAAAAAGAGAGAGAGAGAGGAAAAAAAGGGCAATAATTAACAAAAGCAATATAAAGTCCTCACAATGTACTGCTCCAATATTTAGGAATTGACACAATAGAACAACTCTACAAACCTAATAATCTAGCAACTGCTTATAATGCTAATAATTTGGGGTGCAAATTTTCTAATATTTTTTAAAACACCACTGATCTAAGGTAAAGTAAAAAAAAAGTTGTGGGGCCCGGCGCGGTGGCGCAAGTGGTTAAAGGTCCTCGCCTTGCACGCCCGGGATCCCATATGGGCGCCGGTTCTAATCCCGGCAGCCCCGCTTCCCTTCCAGCTCCCTGCCTGTGGCCTGGGAAGGCAGTCGAGGACGGCCCAAAGCTTTGGGAACCTGCACCCGCGTGGGAGACCCGGAAGAGGCTCCTGGCTTCGGATCGGCATAGTATCGGCCCGTTGCGCTCACTTGGGGAGTGAATCATCGGACAGAAGATCTTCCTCTCTGTCTCTCCTCTCTGTATATCCGCCTTTCCAATGAAAAAATAATAAAAATAAATCTTTAAAAAAAAAAAGTTGTGGAAACAGCTTTCTCCCCTCATTCATGTAGCTGGAGCAGCCACTGCCACAGTTTCATTGTAGTCTACAATCAAATTGAATTCATGCAAAAGTTTCCAAAATCCTTACAGACACAAAACATAAACGCTAACTATTTTTTAAGTAAAAGGAAATATGCAATTCATTTCCCCCCATTTTTATGGTTTAGCAACAATAAATTGCAGTAAATTCAATATAAAGACATTGCCCTTATGTTCCCAAACATTTTTCACTGTATATAAATGGTAAATCATGTGGTATTTTGCTTAAATTTGCCAACTATATACATTGAGACTGATAATGAGAAGACACACCCCCTTCCAGCTGACCCGTTAGCAACAATAAACAACTTCTGAAGGTTCCTTTTTTGTTTAACTGCAGACAGAGGGCAGAGGTGCAAAGCTGGGAGTTTCAGAAAAAGGTAAGTGAACTTACACCTTCAAGAGAAAAGAAATGATGGCTTAAAGCAAATCAACGTCTACAAGGTTTTCAGCAAAAGATAGATTTTAGGTTTGAGATGGTTGAGATGACTGTAAAGGGCCAGAAAGGCAGGCTATGGCTAGAAAGATTATTTCCCTCGTTGTCAAACAAACAAGGAAGGAGAAAACAGAAAGAAAAGCAGCAGCCACCAAAAAAAGCTAGGATAACACACACCTAAGAATATAAACAAGTGATTATGAAACCGAGTTAGTTTAGCTTCAGCAGTAGCAAGAAGGGCTTTATCCAATCAGTGCAGTGAATACCTGCAGGAACAATTAAGTCACTTCCTTGTTGAGCCAGGCGACTAGCAGCTACCCTGCTAGGAGACATAACAGATGGCAACGGTGGTGCTGGGCAACCTGAAAAGGGCAGACATTCAACCGTGAAAAATCCTTTTCCCCCTCCACACATCCTACATAACACCTACAGCTTTACTGCCATCTCCTTCAAGACACTCAAACACTAGGATAACAAAACTGGAATGAATATTTTTTGTTTTTCACAGGAAGGAACTAATAAATGGATACAAGCAGGCTAAGTACTTGTATAAACTTTCATCCAACTATCAAAACCAAGCAAAACACATAACTACAAAGAGATTCAGCAACATTATATCTAACTGAGACTGTGCCTGGACTCTGTTATTTCTAAAATCAATGAGTAGAATATGATCGAGAAGTCCCATCGTTAAATAAACCTCATATAAACATTTCCCGATCTGCAGCTCTTACCTACGAGGGAAAAAAACAATAAAAAATGCAAAGGTATATAAGGGATATTAAAGCATGTTTTAATATGTTAGAGAACTGTGAGTATCAGCCTTGACAGGAACCTTTCACAGGAATTAACGGCCAAAACTTCAAATCACAAATCAAACCTCACCCACTAAAGACTGCTGCTCTTTAGGAGCCCTGCCACTGGCCAAGTCAGCAGTAAGCTTGTGAGCAAGGGAAAACCTCCAGGCCCTGTCCCAGACCTACTGACCCAGAACCCCATGTTCACAAGATCCCTGTGGCTGATTGGCACGTAGTCTGAAGTTTGAGAAGCATTGCTACAAAGGATTCTTTGATCACAAGAAGTTTTTAGAACAAGCTTGGGATACTACACAAGATCTACTGATCATCAGGAAAAACAGGAATCTACGGTTTTGTTTTTGTTTTTTTTCCCATAAGTTACTCATCTACACCAGAGGAAAAGAACATGATTTTCTGATTAAAACACACCAAGTTTCAGGGACTGAAATCCTGGCTTTAACTACCATGTACGCAGGTAACATCAGAAACATTATGGCAAATTACTTAATTTCTCTGAGCCTTTTTTATCTACAGAGTAAGAAATGCCACCCAACGCTGTCCAGGAGTGAACCAAAGAAAATGGGATAGTCACTGAAAAGAAGTCGAAAAAAGAGGAATGTCCTTTCACACTTAGCTGAGAATAATGTCTGCAATTTACTTTTCCTTTCCATCATTTTCTTTCCCAAGTTCTCTAGAAAACATGAATCAAACTCGTAGTTGAAGTGTCCAATTGAAAAGACTCAACCTACTTTCTTAAAATAATGATTGGTCATATTTCAGACACTAAGCTTTGATGTGGAATCCATCACCAGTGAAAACTTCTAAAACTGTGAAAACTTCAATTTAGATGGTATCTCACATTAAAATGCAAACTTTAGACTACTCTAAACTCTCACATTACACTGTAAGAAACATGAGGCTCGGAGAGGCAAAACAATTTCTTGCTAGAGCCTCAAATGTTGTGAATCCACACCACAATATCTCCAAGTAAAATTCAACACATTAATCAACAAGTTACTGAAGTAGAAGGCATTTTAAATGTTTCTAGAAGGCAATGTTAAGTAAAAGAAGCCTACTATGGTTCCACATCTCCATCACCCCAGAAATAGAGTTACAATGTTCTAGTTATTGCTGTGTATTAATTCTGAGTAAGAATTTACACAATAGCACAATATGGTATGTATCTAATATAACACAAAGGATACATAACTTCCCAAAGTAGAATGGTAGGTAATCTGCTGCTGAGACCAACTGGGTCTTTACCTTTTCTGCTTTGTCTTTAAAAGAAGTGACAGCTTCTCTGTATCTTTAATATTATAACCCTTTAAGCTACTAATTTACTTACTATATTCATCAACACCCAATTAAAAAGTGACTCAAAAATTCAAGACCTTGGTGTGGTGTGGTAGCCCAGTGGCTAAAGTCCTCGCCTTGCACGCGCTGGGATCCCATATGGGCACCAGTTCTAATCCCGGCAGCCCTGCTTCCCATCCAGCTCCCTGCTTGTGGCCTGGGAAAGCAGTCGAGGACGGCCCAAAACCTTGGGACCCTGTACCACGTGGGAGACCTGGAAGAGGCTCTGGGTTCCTGGTATGGGATTGGCTCAGCTCCAGCCATTGTGGCCATTTGGGGAGTGAATCAGCCGACAGAAGATCTTCCTCTCTGTATATATCTGACTTTCCAATAAAAATTAAAAAGATCTTAAAAAGAAATCCAAGACCTTATTAAATTTGGAGAACTAGCTCTATTTCATGTCAATAACAAATCTAGGAATAGGAATCTAATGTATGCAATGATTAAAATACCCATTAAAACAAAATCCAGGTACCAAGCATAATTCACTTTTTTGGGGGGGCATACTTCATTCTTATGAGCCTTGCTCTATCACAATTTTTACTGTTATAGTTTTACTTTTCTAAATATAAGAATGAAAAGTGAAAAAAAATGATGTCACTAGATAGCCCATTTCATAGTCTTGACCGGTTTATGATTAAATAGAACAATGATGGATTTGTAATGGTGAAAACAGTGAGGGGTGGGATGGGAAGAGGGCAAGTGGAAGGGGAAGTCCCTGAGACTAAGGGACTATACCACGAAAAACAAAAATTTCAAAAATGACATATTTCAAAATGAAAGTTACTCTTGAAGACAATATTTCCCAATAGTACAATAAAAATATAAACTACTACCATCTGCCAGATGTGAAGGATTTTAAAAGCACAAGGATCTTTTTATTTTGTGAAGTTAAAATGCAGCACTAGGATTAATATATTCAACTACATATTAGCCATTTTAACAAGACCTCTACCAAGAAAATGATTTATTTTCCATATACAAATGTTTACATGGTTTTACAGCAAAACATGAAAAGTGACTTATATAGGAGTGGGTTTTGGCTTAGTGGTTAAGGTTTCTGCTTGGATCCCCGTGCCAGGTCTGATTTCAGCTTCCTGTTAATGGGATCCTCGAAGGCAGCAGCTGGCGGGTCAAGTGACTGGGTCTTAGCCACCTACAGGAGAGAACTGGTTTGTGCCCAGCTCTTGGCTCTAGCCCAGTGCAGTCCAGTACCAGGCACTGTGGGCATCTGAGGAATAAACCAGTGGATGAAAGCTTGCATTCTCACTCATTTGGCTTGCTCTCTCTTTTCTCTCTTGTGGCTGCCTCTCAAATCTAAAGAGAAATAATATGTCTTTTTTACATTACAGAGAAGAGCATTTTTTAAAAGTCATTTCCCTTTTCTATTACAAACATATGACTGTATATGGGATATATGTAGAAAAGAGTTACACCATAGCCAAGTCTGCCTATTTCCATTCATTTAATTTTCATTCATTTTTATTTATTTGAAAGAGAGACTGTCCCTATACACAGAAACTCTTTTTTTCTTTCTCTCTCCCCCTCCCCGCCCTCCCCCCAGCAAGACAGAGGGAAATGAGAGAGGGAGAGGGAAATGGAAAGGGAGATAGGGAAGAAAGGAGGGAAGAAGGAAGAGAGAGAAATTCTCCCTTCTATTTGCCCACTAAGGAAACACCCACAGCAGCCAGGGTTGGCTGGGAGGGGGGATGACAGGAGCAGAAATCCAAACTGGTTCTTCTGAGCGGATGGCAGAGCCCAAGTACCTGAGCCCTGTTACCGCTGACTCCTGGAGGGTGCAGCAGCATGCTGAAACTCAAACCCAGACATGGGATCTGGACATCCCAACAAGAGTCTTAAAACCTATGCTAAATGCCTTTCTTATAATTGTGTACTTAAAAAACAAAAAGTCTTTTCTTTGTTGCCTTAGGAATTTGAATTTTGGGAGGACTGTCTCCATTCTCAGAATGATTAAGAGTGGCTTGCTGTGACTGAGATATTTATGCAAACAATGTGGTTTGGCCTGAGAACCCACTTTCTTCTGCAAGCCTGGATTCTCAGCATGGACAGGACAGAGGACGCCAGTATGAGAAGACTTCAGTAAATGCCCTGGTTAAGGACATTTTTTACCCAGGGAACTTCCCTGGGTAGAACCTTTTTACTTGAGCTATCCTAACTTGCTGCTGGGGGAATTAAGCAATTCCCGGGTGACTGCACCAGGGGGAGATGGAAGACAAGGGTTGGCCTTCGCGAGATGATGCAGGCACATGCTCACTGTAGGAAACCAGAGCTCCAAGGGAGTCCACCAGCTACTAGTGAGCTGGAGAGTCTGCTACTGTTCAGCATTAGAGAAACTTATTTTCTGATCTGCTTTCGAACATGTTTATACAAATCAAAGTCAATCTAGTCATAAATTCTTGGTTACAAGCTAAAACAACCTACAGCACTGATATACTTTTTGAGTATTTACTTCAGTATTTTAAAGCCAGTTCTTTCTCTTTTTTTTAAGATTTTATTTTTATTGGAAAGGGAAGGTCAGATATACAGAGAGGAAGAGAAACTGAGAGGAAGATCTTTTATCTGATTATTCACTCCCCAAGCAGTCGCAATGGCCAGGGCTGAGCCAATCTGAAGCCAGGAGCTTCCTCTGGGTCTCCCATGTGGGTGCAGGGTTCCAAGGCTTTGGGCCGTCCTTGACTGCTTTCCCAGGCCACAAGCAAGGAGCTGAATGGGAAGTGGGTCTGCCAGAGTTAGTTCAGATCCTCTCTGGACCCTCATGCAAGCGGAATGGGGGGGCCCTAAACATGTCTGGGTTTAATTTCACTCATTCTTGCTGGCTGTGTTATAGTGCTCCACCCCCTTTCTATGAGGGCCTTGCAGTAACAAGTAATTTTTTGCACCAGCCAACGCCTCGTCAGTGCTGCTGGCAACAACTGGCACAGCAAGACACTATCCCATCTGTGTCCGGGCAAGGAATTTGTGTTGGCAAAGTCCCCCCTCAACACCAGCCTTTGTGCAATCAAATTATGACACCTCCAACTACCATTTATTTGGTCCCTGCTAATGGGGTCTGGTGGGCTTGTCAAACCGGATTGACCCCTTGAGCCTATGGAAAAGCACTGAATGGTAGCAGCAATGATTTTGTATTTTAATCATATTGCTTCTAAAAATAATATATTGGGAAGAGTTACATCCCCCAGAGCCTTCTAACTTATCCCTGAGAGTCAACCGAGAACCAGTGACCTCCATCAGCCGGGTCACCCCAATGGGCCTGAGTCTCGCAGGGGCAGTATCAAGACCAGGCAGGGGTGTTTTGAGTCATGGTTTATTTCCTCTCCATGGCTCAACATCTTAATTTCCACCCTTGCTGGCCCTTTGATTGTCATATTAATAAACTTGTCCTGCTTATTCAACAGCACTTTAGGACTGTGACCCTATTGGCTAAAGTGGTTGAAGACTCGGCCACTGATCACCACCCGCCCCGATGCCTGGGTTCATGTCGCCCTTCAATAAATTGCCAAAACAGCCTAGCACCCCATAAGCCGTTTAAGCCCATCTCATTGGCTTGGCTGGCTAGCCAATGACGGGTAAGACCCATAGAGGAGGGTAACCTAAGCCAGGCACAGTCACCCAGGGTCCCATGAAGGCTGGATAGTAAATGATAGGTAAGACCCTCAGAGGAGGACAACCTAAGACAGGCACAGCCGCTATGGATCCCTGCCCCATTCATTAAAGAAAGGGGGAGATGTGGGGCTCTGGGGCAAAGGGGTCACTAAGTCACAAGGTCATTGGGTTACATGTGGCAAGCAAGATGGCAGCCAAGGACAGAGCCCTGGGTGTGAACCAGGGCAGGGGTCAATCGTTTCAAAGAAAGACTGATTGGCCAGGGCCATTTCGCTCACCTGCCCTGGCCTATGGGAGGTGGCTTCCACAGTATGCCTCCAGTAATTGGCTCCTAGGTCTCCCCGCCTGGAATTCCTAGCCTGAGGCTATTCATTACCCTTTATAAGAATCTGTACTTCTTGGATCCCATATGGGTGCTGGTTCTAATCCCGGCAGCCCTGCTTCCCATCCAGCTCCCTGCTTGTGGCCTGGGAAAGCAGTAGAGGACGGCCCAAAGCCTTGGGATCCTGCACCCATGTGGGAGACCCAGAAGATATTCCTGGCTCCTTGCTTTGTTTGGATGGGCACAGCACCGGCCGTTGTGGTTACTTGGGGAGTGAATCACCAGACGGAAGATCTTGCTTTCTGTTTCTCCTCCTCTCTCCATATATCTGACTTTGCAATAAAAATTAAATAAAAATTAAAAAAAAAGAATTTGTACTTCCCAAGTGAGTCAGAACTACTTAGGAAAAAAAAAAAAAATCAGTGCCCAAATGGGATCCTGGTGCATGCAAGGCAGGCACTTTAGCCACTAGGGTACTGCAGTGGGCCCCTTTAGAGCCAATTCTTAAACAACAATTAGTGAAATTATGTGCAATGGCCTATTAGGCATAACCTTCCACAAATCTTTTACCTCCTGTAGGAACTGCTTAATTCTGCTCTTAGCAGTGGTGACAACATTAAGTGAAATGCTGCTAACCAGAGCAGGTCACTGTGAGATCTCAAGGCCCAGACTACTAAGTGGGAGCTGCTCTTGTAGCTCGCCTCTATCTACACCTAGATTCTAGGCTTCTCGAGGCAAAGCAGATGCTCAGCATGAACCCATGTCTTCACACAGAACTGAAGCGCTCAACTTCTGTGCCTTACGAACAAGTAGCACTCAATGCATGTCTCCCGTCCTCCGTCCCCGCCACCCTGATAAACATACAGGCTCTTACCTTGATACGCTCCTGCTTCAATAACCCCCTCTTTGGTATTGTCAAAGCCATGAGATGTAATTTGGGTTTCTGAGAGACCAAGTCCAGATGGTAATGAACGCTTCAAATCCTTAGCAACATTTAAATAAAAGAAAAGATCTTTGTGAAAAAAATCCCACATAACATTATCAGTTCAGAATAACTGTTTCCTTTCAAGCACATCTTAAACGAGGTTTCTCTCTCCCACACAGTACTTCCTTACACTGTCAGGGCATTCACAATGCTGCATAATCGGCACACAGCAAATAACCAATGATCTGTAGGTAGTACAGTGCGCACCAGACACAACATGCTGGCAAGAGCAAAGCAGCAGGCAGCCACCAAAATTCAACTGAAACTGTTTACCCCAGGGAAGCATTAAGAACATTATTCTAAGGCTCAGAATTAAGATCGCTAAAATGCCATGTCTAATATCTAGAAATTCAGACACTTAACATAATCACGATGGGGCTAGCCAGCAGTCTGTACAAGCAAACCATTGATGTGCAGGACTAATTTCCCTTCAATTTCAAGGTGAACTTCGTAACTGGAGCATGCTCTGGCTTACAGGAGAACTAGTATTAGTCAACTTCCACTGAAAATTAACAAGTAGTGAAAGCTCAGCTACTAAGAACAAAATTCAACATCGATTCTTGGAGTTTGGAAGCCAAAAAGTACAATATTCTTTAAAAAGCACAATGTTGGGCATATTCAAACAAATTCTGTACAGAAAGCTTTAAATTACACCTCGGGGCTTGGTAATGATTAGGCAGACAGGCCAAGTAAAACTACTAACACCACCTTGAGTCAACGCTGCTGGCTCTGTGTGATGCAACCATACCACTAACAGCCTGAAAACTGGTCTGACCACACAACTACAGCTTCTTACAAACAGCATGCTGAAATGAATGAAGTGAGACACTAAAAGAAGGTCACTGTCCTATTTACCTGTGTTCAGCTAGTATAAGACTTTAGGGGCTAAGACAAGTTATAGTTTCAGTTAATTTTTTATACTGATCATGGTTCAAGGTATCAGATCTAGGACTACAAACACATAAAACTAATAATATATATATATTTTTTACTAACCCATCACTTCTTTTAATATAATAGTAAGGTACGGAATCTTCAATAGACATACTCAGGGAGAGTTAGTTAAAAGTATTTTTAAAAGTTTGTGGAAAAATAGAATTTAAAGAAAAGTTTAGGGCCTGGCACAATAGCTCAATTGGCTAATATTACGCTTGCAGGCGTTAGTATTCCATGTGGGTGCCAGTTTGTGTCCCAGATGCTCCACTTCCCATCCAGCTCCCTGCTTGTGCCTGGGAAAGCAGTAGAGGACGGCCCAAAGCCTTGGGACCCTGCACCCTCATGAGAGGTCAGGAGGAGGCTCCTGGCTCCTGGTTTCAGATCAGCTTAGCTCCAGAGATTGTGATCATTTGGAGATTGAACCAGCAGACGGAAGATCTTTTTTTCTGTTTCTCCTTCTCTCTGTAAATATGCCTTTCCAATAAATATAAACAACTCTTGAAAAAAAAAAGTTTATTTTGGCACAAAAGTTTTTTGAAATCACACACTCAAGGAGTCTTTAAAAATTAAAAAGGAGGGCCTGGCGCAGTAGCCTAGCAGCTGAAAGTTTTTGCCTTGCATGCACCAGGATCCCATTTGTGTGCTGGTTCTAATTCCAGCAGCCCCGCTTCCCATCCAGCTCCCTGCTTGTGGCCTGGGAAAGCAATTGAGGACGGCCCAAAGCCTTGGGACCTTGCACCCACTTGAGAGACCCAGAAGAAACTGCTGGCTCCTGGCTTTGGATCAGCTCAGCTCTGGGTATTGCGGCCACTTGGGGAGTGAATTAGTGGACAGAAGATCTTACTTTCCAATAAAAAAAAAAAATCTTTAAAAAAATTAAAGGGAAAATGTTGGATATGAAAAAGGCACCAAAATAAACTGATCTTTTCATTCCATTTTTCACAAACTTTCTTAAGTGCTCTTGTACTTTATTATCTAGAGCAAGGCATACACATTTTTATCAGTAGTTGAAGACAATACATAAACAGCAAAGCATGCAACAACTTACGATGCAGTTAATAATTAAGAGGGGAAGATGATCACACATGCGTAATGATACATTACATAAAAACTCTCATTGAGACACATCCTGAGTTACAATAATGACAAACCAGGAGGACATGGAATGTAGGAGAAAGATGAGAATGAGAAAGGCTGAATTCTCAACATCCTAGAAAAACCTGAGGCGAAAGGATCAGAAGCCTGGGGCTGCCATGGCCGTGCTGCAGAGCACAGAGCCAGTAACTGCTTCAGGACAGCAGCTCAAGGTCCATGGTGAGAAATGGGTGGAAATGAGTTCGAGGCCAGATTAAAAAAAAATCAAAGAAAGCAGAAAATTTTGAGTATCGGATTTGCCTGATTTTTTTTATTAACGGTAGTTGAAAGTAAAACATCTATTAACTTCAGTGTGTAAAATCTCCACATTTTGGCAGGTTCCTACTCTATCTGCATCCTGAGATGCTATGTCACCTAGAAGGCAGGGGTGGCATTTCAGAAGGCAAACAAGATTTATCAGTGACAACATTTAAAAACTAGCTCTAGTTCCAAAGGTATCATAATTGAAAATAATAATTTGCAATGATTTAATGAGGTCATGCGATGTGATGGATGCAGTTTGGGCTCTGGGGTCTGGTTGGATAAAACACGAGTTTGAATCCTGGCTCTGCTGCTTCCTGAATCATGGCTACATGATTCCAAGCAAGTTGTCTCAACCGTTGCGTTTCTTTACTGCAAAATGGGGGATGAAGGTATAATAATTCTTAACCTCACAGATATTTAGAAAGCACCCAGTGTAACTTTTCTCCTGTGAACAGAACTCTTCTGAAGATGAACAGAGTAATAAAAGACTGGTTTTTTAATACTGAGCATTATACAAGGAGGGAAGATTGTATTTTCCATTTAGCATGAATTTTGTTGTTGAGTAACCCAGTACAAAATACCAAGGACTTTAATCAACGTACAGGCATGGGATTCTTAAGCGTCCTCAGTCTTAGTAATATAGTTCACAATGTATTCTTAATGAAATCAGGGTATGCCTCTATTTGAACAATCGGGTGATTATAGACTCTAGCAACCAGTCAGAGGTTACAAGTTTGAGAGGTCCAAGTTTAAAGAATTCAAGCAGTATATTAAATGATCACATTAAAAAAGAGATTTACTTTATTGAAAAGTCAAAATTACAGAGAGAAGGACAGAGAGAAAGATCTTCCATCCGCTGCTTCACTCCCCAAGTGGCCACAACGGCCAAAGCTGAGCCAATCTGAAGCCAGGAGCCAGGAGCTTCTGCAGGCTGTCCCACGCGGGTGCAGGGTCCCAAAGTCTTGGGCCATCGTCGACTACTTTCCCAGGCCACAGCAGGGAGCTGGATGGGAAGTGGAGTCGCTGGGATACAAACTGGCACCCACGTGGGATCCTGGCACATGCAAGGCAAGGATTTAGCCATGGAGATACTGTGCAGAGTCCTAAATGATCACACACATTTTTAACAGAAACTGTTTGAATGGAAGAAGATACAGACAAAGGCAGGAACAACATTACTTAAAAGAAAAGTGACAGATTTCATTAAAAAAAATAAAAATGGAATATATAAAAAAGAAAAAAAAGAAGAGAAGGAGGAGGCCTGGCGTTATAGGCCAGTAGCTAAAGTCCTCGCTTTGCACACGCTGGGATCCCATATGGGTGCTGGCTCATGTCCTGGATGCTCCACTTCCCATCCAGCTTCCTTCCTCGCGACCTGGGAAAGCAGTCGAAGACGGCCCAAAGCCTTGGGACCCTGCATCCATGTGGGAGACCCAGAAGAGGCTTCTGGCTCCTGGCTTTGGATCAGCTCAGCTCCAGCCGTTGTGGCCACTTGGGGAGCAAATCAGTGGATGGAAGATCTTTCTGTTTCTCCCCCTCTCTGTACATCTGGTTTTCCAATAAAAATAAATAAATCTTAAAAAAGAAAAAAGAAGAGGAAAAAGAATAGTTGAACAATCAGGAACTTCATTAAATATATCTCTTTACAGATGTTTTTATAAAGTACAGGTTCAGGAGAAATTAAAGGTTAGATCTGTCTTTCAGTTCCAAGACGACACTTCTGAAAACCTTAAAGGCCACAAGTTCACATATTTGAAAATCAATACTCTACATTCAGTAAGTTACGAGTTCAAGCAATTCTAAACCTTGAAACACTCCTGGCCCACTGCACATTAAATTCAACTCAAACTCTTTCAAAGAGATAAACTAACACAAAAAGAAAAATACTGATCTCTGTTGCAAAGTGATTTTTTTTAACCTTTTCCCTGTAATGCGGATAGGAGGAACTACCCAATTTCATAATCAGGGTCTATGAATGTTTCTTTCTGGCTTTCTACAGCAAAGGACAAGTTTATAATGCGTTAAAAGACACATGTCTGTGAAATCCTTGGTTTGTATTCATTCATTTATTCGTTTGACAGGCAGGGAAAGGAAGGGAAGGAGAGAGAGCCTATATGCTGTCTCCCTCTCTCCACCCGCCCCCGTTGGCCACCAAGGCTGAGACTGGCCTGGGCTGAAGCAATACGCATGGAGAAGTCCTACGAGCCTGACAAGCAGCAGCATCCTAAGCACTGTGCCATCTTCTGCTGCCTTTCCGGCTTATGAGCATGGCGCAGCTGGGACTCAGACCCAGCAAATGTATGCGGGATGCCAACAACACAAGCTGCCACTTATGCCCCATTGCATCATAACCTTGTACCCCAGCTCTCCTTAATACTCTATTATGTAAAATGCAGTTATGATTTTAGAACCCAGGGCTCTCTAGCATTTTGAATTTTCCAACTTACACAGTCAAACTTAGTCTTTCACAATTGAGAAGTAATCAAGAGGCTTGTTCATGACGTTCATTAATTTTGCCTACCTAATTACTTGATTTACATGGTGCACTTTGAATCAACAATCATGCAGTCTTAGTTAAGATCACAGAGACATCATCACTGTTAAATCTCATGGTTAACTCTCAATTCTCATCATTTTTGACTTATCAAGGCTGCACCGGATTCT